GTATATGATGACACCCCATAATTGGCATAGAGCTGTTCAGGGCCGGACCATTAACTGTCATCTGAAGTCTGGTGCAGTTTGGACCATTTTCCATTGACTTAAGACAACATTGTGTTTTACGGTGAGTGATTCGTTGCCATGGAAACGGCATATGATGACACCCCATAATTGACATAGTGCTGTTGAGGGCCGGACTAGTAGCCATGATCTGAAGTCTGGTGCAGTTTGGACCTTTTTCCATTGACTTAAGACACCATTGTGTTTTTTGGCGAGGGATGCGTTGCCATGGAAACGGCATACGGTGAGATTTCAGATTTCACGTAGAGCTGTTGAGGGCCGGCCGAGTAGCCATCATCTGAAGTGTGGTGCAGTTTGGACCATTTTCCATTGACTTAAGACACCATTGTGTTTTTTGGCGAGGGATGCGTTGCCATGGAAACGGCATATGATGACATCCCATAATTGGCATAGTGCTGTTGAGGGCCGGACCATTAGCCATCATCTGAAGTCTGGTGCCATTTGGATGATTTTCATAGGAGTAACGGAAACATCGTTTTTTTTGGCGAGGGATGTGTTGTCATGGAAACGGCATACGGTGAGATCTCAGATCTCACATAGAGCTGTTGAGGCATGGACCGGTGACATAAAAGTGAAGATCGGGGGACGATGGAACTGTGCCCATTGGATTTACAGCGACACCGTGTTTAATGGCAAGGGATGCGTTGCCATGGAAACGGCATATGATGACATCCCAGAATTGGCGTAGAGCTGTTGAGGGCCGGACCATTAACTGTCATCTGAAGTCCGGTGCAGTTTGGACCATTTTCCATTGACTTAAGCCAACATTGTGTTTTACGGCGAGGGATGCGTTGCCATAGAAACGACATATGATGACATCCCATAATTGGCGTAGAGCTGTTGAGGGCCGGACCATTAACCGTCATCTGAAGTCTGGTGCAGTTTGGAACCTTTTCCATTGACTTAAGGCAACATTGTGTTTTAATGGCGAGGGATGCGTTGCCATGGAAACGGCATATGATGACATCCCAGAATTGGCGTAGAGCTGTTGAGGGCCGGACCATTAACTGTCATCTGAAGTCTGGTGCAGTTTGGAAGTTTTTCCATTGAGTTAGGACAACACCGTGTTTTATGGCGAGGGATGCGTTGCCATGGCAACAGCCTTTGAGGAAAACTCACTATTGTCATATTGAGGTGTTGAGGGCCGGACCATTAACTGTCATCTGCAGTCTCGTGCCGTTTGGACCATTTTCCATTGATTTAAGACAACATTGTGTTTTACGGCGAGGGATGCGTTGCCATGGAAACGGCATACGGTGAGATCTCAGATTTCACGTAGAGCTGTTGAGGCATGGACCGGTGACATAAAAGTGAAGATCGGGGGACGATGGGACTGTGCCCATTGGATTTACAGCGACACCGTGTTTAATGGCGAGGGATGCGTTGCCATGGAAACGGTATATGATGACATCCCAGAATTGGCGTAGAGCAGTTGAGGGCCGGACCATTAACTGTCATCTGAAGTCTGGTGCAGTTTGGAACCTTTTCCATTGACTTAAGACAACTTTGTGTTTTTCGGTGAGTGATTCGTTGCCATGGAAACGGCATACGGTGAGATCTCAGATTTCACGTAGAGCTGTTGAGGGGCGGACTAGTAGCCATCATCTGAAGTCTGGTGCAGTTTGGACCATTTTCCATTGACTTAAGACAACATTGTGTTTTACGGCGAGGGATGCGTTGCCATGGAAACGGCATACGGTGAGATCTCAGATTTCACGTAGAGCTGTTGGGGCATGGACCGTTGCCATGGTAACGCCATATTAAGTAACATAACATTTGACGTAGAGCTGTTCAGGGCCGCAGTGTTAACCATCATGTGAAGTTTGGTGGCGTTGTGAGCATGTCAGTTTGAGTTATGACATCATCGTATTCCATGGCGTTTGATGGGCCTAGCATCGAGCGAACGCGAACTTTGGCGCCAAATCACGGCTGCGCCGTGCGAAAGAAAAAAACTTCCGTGATAACTTTGAATTGCCCATGTCTCGAGATGCTACCCGACGAATTTCGAGTCGTACGGATAGTCCCTGGGAAAAGATAGATTTTGCGCGTTTTCCCGACGCCAAATTCAAAATGGCCGACTTCCTGTACGTTATTTTATACCCCTCCAAAAGGCTTTTTTGTTCGTCTCCGCACCCTAGATATGCGTAGCGAGTTTCGTTCGTTTACGTGAAAGTTAAAGTTGCCGGCTGTACGTTATAAGCGGAAGTGGGCGTGGCCTACGCCATTTTTAACGTAAAGTTCCGGGACCAATTAAATATAAAAATTTTGCGCACTTCTTGCACCGTTGAATAAGGCTGTTGACACAGCTACAGCCCGTGTGGAGTGCGCACGAAACCCCGTGGGGCAGGCTCTCCCTGCCTGTCCGTAGGCATGTGCAATGCACTCTCAGAGCCAGCCTGCCAGGCGTTTCTTGGACAGAGCTTTCCCGATCACCCCGCCCCCGAAGCACACAAACAGCTGTTCGGTGCGTCTAAGGGCAGCCGTGCGCTCTACATAACATGCTAGCGCACGCACCGGGCAGAGGAGGTGCAGTTTAGCCTCCCTGGCCCCACCATGGGGGGGGAGACTAAAACCCCCTAACTGAATAGCCCTCGACCTGAACGCACTCCTTAGGTTTTTAGGTACAAAGGAGGGGTTCGGTCTAAGTGTCGCGCCGCTCTGGTCACCCCGAATTAGTAAACAACTCGGGTGCACCGACAGAGCAGTTAACTCGGACACTCTTTTGGCTGACGTTAAGGCAAGAAGCAAAGCTGTTTTCCACGACAATGCTTTCAGAGAGGCGAGCTCAAGAGGCTCAAATGGTCCCGAGGCCAGAGCCTCGAGCACTAGGGGCAGGTCCCACTGCGGGGTGTAGACGTGCACTACAGGGCGCAGTCTCCTAACTGTAAAAACCGCAACATCAGTGGTTGACTAAAGGCTGACCTGCCACCAAATCCCTCATGACAGGACGAGATGGCTGCTGCATACACCCTCACTGTGGAATGCGCCAGCCCTCTGTCCACCAATAACTGTAAGAAGGACAAAATAGAGCCTAGCTCACAAGATAGGGGCTCTATTCTCTGCTCCTCACACCATCGCTGGAATCCCAGCCACTTCGGCCTGTAACAGGCTGTGGTGGATCCAGCTCTAGCTGCCTGGATAGACTGAATAACACTGTCAGACAATCCACCCTGTCTCAGCCTGTCCCTCTCAGGAGCCAAGCCTGGAGAGGTTGGCCGAGCGTGGGTAACGCCCCGATTGCACCTGCCTCTTGAGACATCGCCCAGGGCTGGCTCACCTTCATCTGTGTCATTTCCGAGTACCACGGTGCCCCGACGCGATCTGGTGCCACCAGAATGACTGCCAGACGTTCTCGCCTCACTCTCCCCAGGAGAGGGAGAATGAGACGCAGCGGTGGAAAGGCGTATAGCAGCTTCCTTGGCCATGGCTCGTGTGCAAACGCGTCCACCCCCAAAGGCGGGTCGTCGCTCAGGGCCATGGAGAACCACAGGGCACAGTGGCTGTTGCGCCGGCTGGCGAACAGGTCCACTTCTGCTCTCCCGAACTGGGCCCAGACCTGCTTCACCACCTCCGGGTGAAGCACCCACTCGCCTGGCAGGGGGCCGCCCCTGGACATGAGGTCGGCCCCTCTGTTCTCCAGTCCTCACTATGGAAAACAGCATTAACCGGAGTTTTTACAGGCGTAGTGTGTTTTACTAAGGCCCCTGAACGCACCGCCACGCGCCCCTTTACAAGTGCCGGCGTTGCTATAATGCAGCCCCTATCACTATAGTAAACAGCATTATTTGGAGTCTTAGCTTCAGGCATAGAATTTTTTTTTTTTAAAAACGTCGGCCATAATGTCCCTGTACCCGCACCGCACTATAACAGTGCTGCCGGCTGTTTATCACTCTCATCTGCGCACTCCCACTAGCCTCCTCCCTGACGGGAGCTATAGCTGGGGCGGCGAGTGGGGAATTTGTACAGTCATCAACATGTGCAAGTGTATTGTGGAAACAAAGGACACTCAGACTTGGATACAGATCAACACCATCTTTATTTTTAAAGGTCTTAACGGGGATCTGGGCATTAAACAGGGAGGAGGCGGGATTCGCCCTCGCGTCCCCGGTAGAGGGAATCTCTCCCCCCACCGAGGCGCTACCTCTCCCGCTAGTCAACTCCGGGAAGATGGAGCACCCCACCCGGGCGCTCTCTGCTGCTGCGGAGCCCCCGGCTGGGCAGCCCTTCCCCGTGACCGGCGATACGCCGGTTCCACGGGGCGGGCCGTGGAAGTGGAGGGCGCCGCCACTCGGCGCCTCTCCCTCCGTTTCACTGCCACACTGCGCTCCCTCACCTGTGTGGAAACCCGTGGAGGAGCGCGTATCGGGGCCTGAGGAGGGGCCAGCGGTAGCATGCGGCTAAGCTGGACCCTCTCCTCCTCCAGGCGACTGAAACGCTGCGTGACCGAGGAGATCGACCCAAAGAGCCCCTCCGAAGATACGGGGGCTCCGAGGAGATCCTCTCTGTGCTTTTTGGACAGCGCGGTGAGTCCCAGCCACACGTGACGAGACGCCACTGTGGCTAGGGAAATTACCCGCGCTGCTGTGGCGGCCACGCCACAAATCAGATTATTCATCTGACCCACAGCGCGGTCCGGATAACCACTCTCGTCCTGAGGCGAGAGGGCGGGGGCGTCTGCCTGAGGTTTCGTAATCAGGGAGACGCCCAACACGCCACGATTATTGGCCGCAGCCGCCATCTGAGTACCGAGCTTGAACATCTTGTCCAGATATTCCAGGGTGTCTCGGTCCCGGGGCAGCGGGGGCAGAGGGCGTTTACCCTCCGCCCAACCAGCCGCCCGCGGGAGCAGATGGACCGCCAGGCTCTCATCGAGGGGGGGCACATCCGTGTCCGAGCGATCCACCACCTTAATGATACCCGCCATGGCGGCTACCGGGGCCTTCGTTTTTAATGGCTGGTGCCATGTCGCCTCCACACACCGCCATACCTCTGGCAGCTGGGGCGAAACGAAGGTCGGCTGCGCCGGATGCACCGGGCCATAAACCCCCGATCTCAGGCGGTTTACAGGCCTCGGTGGCAGCGGTGGGGGGAGCGGTAAACCTACATGCTCCGCCGCCAGAGTCATCACCGCCGGGAAATCCATCCGCGCAGAGCTGAGAGTTGGACCTCCGGATAGCGAGGCGTCCTCGTCGTCAACCATCGGAACCGGGACCGTCTGGCTCCACGGCAGGGAGAACCGGAACGATGTCCCCTCGCTTCCCGAATCGCCCATGTCCACGACGTCGCGATCCAGCTCCTCCGACTCCTCCTGCGGGGCAATCTTCTCCAGGAAGTGCTGCTCACGATGCTCCCTCGTGTGCCGCGGGATCGCCTGGCAGGCCGAGCACGCCGGCGTCGAGCCCATACCGTTCATCGCGTGGTCGGGCCCCAAACACGTGAAGCAGAGGGGGTGCGGATCGGCTCCCGAAATCAGGTTCGGACAATTCGGGCAGGTCCTATGGTCCAGTACTGGCTCCATACTTTCTCTCTTTTACTTTCACTTCAGATACGTCTTAGTCTTCCGTGGAATCACTTCCGCTTGCTGAAGAGAAAAAGGATGATCGTCAGGAGGCGAGGCCTCCTTTTATACGGTGTGATGCGCGCGCATTCAGGTAGGCCCGCCCTGGGCTGGCTACGTCTATAGAAGTCTCTGTGGGAGAATGCACGCGGGATAAGGTAGTACCCATAGAGTCCAGTAGAGGGCGGAGCCTGTGAGAGATATAACTGTCCCTGAGTCTGGTGGTTTTAGTCCGGATGCTGCGGTACCGCCTGCCAGACGGCAGCAGACAGAACAGTTTGTGGCTGGGGTGATGGGGGTCTTTTATAATCCTGAGGGCTTTCTTTAAGGTTAACCTGGTATTTTTACTCCACTACATTGATTTTAGTTACTTTACAGATTTGGATTAATGATGTGAAATATAAACAACCCTTAAATCAGACTTTAGTTACACCTGAGTAAAATTCAGTGAAGGTGATTCTCAAGTGCCAACAATCAAGCGAGATATTTGGTAGTGGGTGCATGAGAAGATTAAATATTTATCTGCAGATCCCTATAAAGTATATTCATTACTCGTTATTCTATAATCGTTCATTAAAGACTGTATATAATGGCTATTTTGCACATCCCTTTCAAGATTTCAAGATTTTCTAAGGTTTATTGACATATCATATACACAACTACGGTGTAGTTATGCAATGAATGAAAAACTTGGGTCACAGGTTCCTCAACAGTGCATTACAAGACATCTATCGATATCTGTGTACCTCCACCATTAAACATATTCTGCACCTTTCTTATACTATCTACATACATCTTATAAGAGTATAATAAATATGTATAATATCAGTTAAAATAAGTGCTTCAACATAGTTAACATTGCAGGAAAGTTGATTGTCAAGTTCCAAAACAAACCATGCAATATATTAGACGTTAAGTACTTTGTCAGGCTTAATATCTGTAGATACCCCCAAAGCTTTTTTCTTATTTAAAAGAAGACCTTAACCTAAAGTATTCTTTAATGTTTAAATAAAGCCTTATTAGTTTGTCTGTTTTGCACATCCTCCTATCAGGCACTAAACTGTTTTATTGTAGAGATCACTTACAGTATCTTCTTGATATCTTCTATTCTATATTATTTATATCATTGACCTTCCACTTTCCCACTATATTAAGAGTATGTACTCTTAATATTTAAATGTTTTCATCAAATATAACACATTCAAAAGTGCTTTACAGAAATGAAAGACATTAAGAAAAAGGCATTTTAAAACAGTCATTAAAAAGCAACACAATCTACCTGCATTGCAATTACTCTAAACGTGTAATAACGTGCTTTAACCAGTAGGGGGTTTGGGTTAAAAAGCTGTCAAATTTACAGTGTTAACAAAATAAAATATACTGCTGTTTCTGGTTTAGTTTACGACGGATATATTCTGTTATTGTTTTGATATTTGTAACACAAAAGCGATGTAAAAAACCATTCATTACAATGCATTCATGTGATGACTTTCAAAGAGTAAAGCAAGCACTGCTGAATAAAGTATGATTTTATCTTTTACAAAACGTTTTTTTTCCATATGGAATGCAGTTGGAGGTCAACCAATCACAGAGCTTGAGGCAAAGCGGAACAATAGCTGAGGATTCTGGGTAGTGTAGTGTCTTCGGCCATCCTAAACTCTGAACACATATTTGTTTCTCCGAATCGAAGGGGAAAATTACAAAAGCCTTGTACACAATTTAAACCAATCAATGTTGTTTAATTAACAAGGATAATCTGGTGTTTTTGAGTTGATGAGTAGTGCAGATATCACTGTAAAATCAATCGACAGTAAGGAGAATACTTACTTCCGGGTGTAAAATCCTCCGTTATCCAATGGGAATGGACGCTCACATTGCTCTCTGCGTCCGTAATACAATAAAGGGGACATGATCAAATAGGAATATAATTATCTTTTAAATAACGTTAACTAAAGGGAACAATCTATTTGACACAGCTGAAGTTCTGGCCTTCCTTAAAAACGAACTAATTTAATAAAAATCACAGTTGTATTACACACAATGCACTGTTTTTTTAGATCAAAGATTCGTAACTAATGCACCATAATACATTCTGACGAAAAATAAAAATGATTATGAATACAAATAAACTAAAAGAAGCCTCCCGTGAGTTACTACAAGCTATAAAGTAGATTTTAAAAACGTTTTATAGAATAAAAGCTCACTGCTGGACGTTGTAGAAATGCGTGTGTGCACCACGACAAAGGAGCCTCATTCACTTTACATTGGGGTTGTTTGCGTGGTGCAGACACATAAATGTAGCAAAGTTCGTGACTCCACCACGCACTGCGGTGTTAAGGAGTCGTGGTGGAGTCACGCATTCTGGTGAGACCAGGTTGTTTTTTTATTAGGTATTCTGTTGAAAAACATATGTTTATAAAGCATTTAAACTCAGTCTGTTTTTATTAGTTTTATTGTTATATTCTCAAAAGCATTTTCTTATTCTCTCCTGTTTCCTTCTCTTTCAGCAGATAGTGGTCTGCAGGAGGTTTTAGAGGAACATAGGCTCAGTCTGAGGAGGAGATGTGAACGTGTGACTGAAGGAACTGATCAAAGTGAAACCCTCCTCAACAGGATCTTCACTGAGCTCTACATCACACAAGGCCAGAGTGAAGAAGTGAATACCCAACATGAGGTGAGGCAGCTGGAGACAGCTTCCAAGAAAGAGACCCTCCATGACACTCCAATCAAGTGCCAGGACATCTTTAAAGCCTTACCTGACCAACAGACTCTCATCAGAGCGGTCCTGACCAACGGAGTCGCTGGAGTTGGAAAAACCTTCTCAGTGCAGAAGTTCACTCTGGACTGGGCCGAGGGTTTGGAAAACCAAGATGTCAGTCTGGTGATCCTGCTCTCCTTCAGGGAGCTGAACCTGATCAAAGGTGAGCAGTACAGTCTTCTCAGGCTGCTCCATGTTTTCCATCCAACCTTACAGAAGGTCACAGCAGAGCAGCTGGCTGTCTGTAAAGTGCTGCTCATCTTTGACGGCCTGGATGAAAGCAGACTTTCTCTGGACTTCAGAAACAATGAGGTTGTGTCTGATGTCTCACAGAAGTCCTCAGTCAACGTGCTGCTGACAAACCTCATCAGGGGGAAGCTGCTTCCCTCGGCTCTCGTCTGGATAACTTCCAGACCTGCAGCGGCCAATCAGATCCCTCCTGAGTGTGTGGACAGGGTAACAGAAGTACGAGGCTTCGCTGACGCCCAGAAGGAGGAGTACTTCAGGAGGAGATCGAGTGATGAAGACCTGTACAGCAGAATCATCTCTCACATCAAGAGCTCCAGGAGCCTCCACATCATGTGTCTGATCCCAGTCTTCTGCTGGATCACTGCTGCAGTTCTGGACCACATGTTGACTACAGACCAGAGAGGAGAGCTGCCCCAGACCCTCACTGACATGTACTCACACTTCCTGCTGGTCCAGACCAAGAGGAAGAAGCAGAAGTATGAAGAGGGACATGAGACGAGTCCACAGCAGCTGACGGAGGCTGACAGGGAGGTTCTTCTGAAGCTGGGGAGGCTGGCGTTTGAACATCTGGAGAAAGGAAACATCATGTTCTACCAAGAAGACCTGCAGCGCTGTGGCCTTGGTGTCACCGAGGCCTTGGTGCACTCCGGAGTTTGTACAGAGATCTTCAAAAGAGAGAGAGTGATCTTCCAGAAAACAGTATACTGCTTTGTTCATCTGAGCATTCAGGAGTTTCTGGCTGCAGTCTACATGTTCCACTGTTACACCAACAGAGACACAGAGGTACTGAAGGACTTCCTGCAGGGAGACTGGCCCTATGAGAACAGTAAAAACAGTGATCAGGATTACCCATCCCTGGATGTCTTCCTAAAGGGAGCCATGGCGAAATCCCTCAGAAGTAGAAATGGCCACCTGGACCTGTTTGTCCGCTTTCTCCACGGCCTCTCTCTGGAGTCCAACCAGACACTCTTAGGAGGCCTGCTGGGTCGCACAGACAACAGTCCAGAAATCATCCAGAGAGCCATCAGAGGCCAGCTGGGTCGCACAGACAACAGTCCAACATTCATCCAGAGACTCTTAGGAGGGCTGCTGGGTCGCACAGACAACAGACCAGAAACCATCCAGAGAGCCATCAACAACCTGAAGAAGATGAGCAGTGATAATATCTCTCCTGACAGGACCATCAACATCTTCCACTGTCTGACAGAGATGAAGGACCACTCAGTACATCAGGAGATCACAGAGTTCCTGAAGTCAGAGAACAGATCAGAGAAACTCTCTGAGATCCACTGCTCTGCTCTGGCCTACATGCTGCAGATGTCAGAGGAGGTTCTGGATGAGTTGAACCTGAAGAAGTACAACACATCAGAGGAGGGACGACAGAGACTGATTCCAGCTGTGAGGAACTGCAGGAAGGCCAAGTAAGTCCAGATGTGATTAACTTTATAAACTAATGTGGATCAGAAGTTGAATTATTCAAATAAACACTATAACATTTCTGCTGTTTAAATACTGAGAGCAAAATAAACCAACACTGTTCTTCTATTTATTTATAATAATAGTTTAACTGAACCGTTTCTCTCTTCATATTGAGTGATGGAGGCGACATGTCAAACACATGAAGGACTCTAGAGGTTTCTCAGCATGTGATCACACCACACAGCAGGACTTACAGTTAGCAGTTATTATTACTTTCTAGTAGTTTCTTTATCATTAAACACACACACGTTTTTATCAAAATGTATTAGAGTTTAAAATCAGATCTATATCATATCCCACCAATACCAGAGTTATGTCTTAATACTCATATAGTGAGAACATCTGATGGTATTCAGGTTAAAATATTGAAACTTTATTGGCTTGTTAACTGTGTTTGTGTGCACAATACATTTCCAGATGCTCAGAGAAGCCAAAACATCCATCATTCACATCTAAATATTAATTAACATTTAAATATGTACATCTCTAATATTGTCACGTGATTTATTTAATTTCTGTTTCTTTGGTAACAGTCAGTGACAGCAGGAGCACAGACATGTGATCAGATCACACTGACAACACATTACACTCTATTATCATATATTATTATATATAAAATGGACTAACAGCAAATCTCAATCAGAACATATGTCAAATATTTGTTTCATCAAATGCTTGAGGTCACATGTTGTAATATATGTGTTATTATAGACTTACTGACTGTAGACTCTCAGAGACTCACTGTGAAGTCGTGGCCTCAGCACTGAAGTCTGACCCCTCCCATCTGAGAGATCTGATCCTGAGTGGCAACCCTATGAAGCATTCAGGAGTGGAGCTGCTGAGTTCTGGACTAAAGAGTCCAAACTGCAGGCTGGAGGCTCTCAGGTCAGTTCACTGACTGAACTTCATCTCTTTGTATTTATCATTTTCTGAATTTGAAAAAAATACATTACAATTATTTTTCCATTTTTGCTAAAGACTGAATATTGATCAGAATAACAAAGAGAAGGTGAATGTGTGAGGGAGAGAGTTTGAGCTTCCACAGACTCACTCTGTGCTCCATGAGTCAGTGGAGATGCTGTCAGTACTGATGAGCTGTGAGGGAGATGAAGGAGTTGTTCAACATCTGATCAAAGTTAAAGTTCCAGATTATCAATGGATTGTTTCTACATCATCTCTGAGATTAAAGGTCTCCTATCATGCAAAAGTCACTTTGTGATGTCTTCTCTACATCACCATGTGTCCCCGGTGTCAGGAGACTCACAAAGTGTCAGGAAACAAACCCCTCTCTCTTTTCCTCCGTACCCACATCTCTAAAAACGGGGGAACAACGGAGCTGATCCAGATTTGCTGCGTCATGACGGCATTACTAAATTGTGGGCGGGCTTTACACCAACGGGCCAATCAGAAACGTTGCTGTCAGAAACAATGAGACGTGTTCTGGAAGTAATATGGTCTGTGTTTACATTAGCATGGCTAACACTCAGAGCTAACCTGTACTGGAGAGAGCAGAGGTGGGACCAAGTCATTGTTTTGCAAGTCCGAGTCAAGTCTCAAGTCTTTGCGCTCAAGTCCGAGTCAAGTCTCAAGTCAGGATGGGAAAGTTCAAGTCAAGTCCAAGTCCTAAACTTTGACAAAACGAGTCTTAAACAAGTCCTTATGTGCTTTTCAACAAATGTAATGACATCGATCAACAGAATAATACTTAATAATCAAACTGCTCTTTATTAGTCACATTAATAATTTAATAATCCATTTTCTTTCTGCTGGTAAAGTAACGTGTTTTTCTTCTATTGTAAGAGGGATCAGTAAGGTAATGCTACCGTGAAGGTTTGATTCAGAAGGAGTTTAATGTATAAGATCCCTGATGTTGAGGTAACCAGAATGTTTATTTCCACTGTGTACAGCATGTTATAAGGGACCCACAATCTATCTTTATGCAAGGGATAATGTGCAGCGAGGCGTCTCTATGGGGAAAAGAACACCTGAATCTAGATCCCTCTGCAGGTGGTACTTTAACTATATTTTGATGCTAATACTTTTGTACTTTTACTTGTAACATTTTGAATGCAGGATCTTTTATTGTAACCGAGTATTCCTACACTCTGGTACTGTTACTCAAGTACAAGATCTGAACTTCTCCCACCTCTGGCAATAAATCCTGAGTGGTTACCAAAATAAAAAACCCTGCTCTGAAGGTTATTTTCATTTTACAAATCCTGCACTCAGCTTTGCTTTCTCCAATATCATTGAAATGCAGCCAGATGCTGCTCCTTTTTTCGGTTTTCGCAAATTTCTTGACTTCTTCCGACGCGCTTGCATTTAAATCCGGCTCCCCGTCTCCCCGTCGCTCTGTGTAGCTGGCCTGTACCACTACACCTGCTGTCTTTGGAGCGTCTGCCCCCCACCCTTCTTTCACATAATGGTATGATCCTAGTGTGTCCTCGCATATGATTGGCCGCATGGTGGCTCAGCAAAATAAAGTCCCGCCCCTGCCTGCATGGATTCTCAGCAAGAGTTGCAGCGGCTGAAGATTCTGCTTTCCCCGACGGGAGTCTGCTCTTCTAGCGGCATCTCGCGATCGGCGTGTTGGAGACCCCTGAATTAAATTATCAAGTCACCTCAAGTCAGAAGGCTCAAGTCCAAGTCAAGTCCCGAGTCATTGGTGATCAAGTCCAAGTCGAGTCGCAAGTGTTTTGTGATTTTGTCAAGTCGAGTCCAAAGTCATCAAATTGGTAACTCGAGTCTGACTCGAGTCCAAGTCATGTGACTCGAGTCCACACCTCTGGGAGAGAGCATATGTAAAGAAGCAGGAAATAAAAAGGAACTCACCTTGTGGTAAACCTGAGAGAGAGAAAGAGTTTGAGCTCCATAGAGTGGCGAAGTCACGCCCATCTACTTCCGCCCCATGGGACCTTAATTCGAAAAAATAATGTGTTGAAGTCAATGGAGAGAGAAAACGTATCTTTCGATCCCGTTTGAATTGTGCCACGAATTACACATATGATGTTTGTCAATCTTAAAAAATCATTTCCATGTCAAAAAAGTCACAGTTTGTCCTAAAACTGTTGAAATATAAGACTATGAAAAATACGCAACTAGAAAGACTACAAATCCCAGAGTCGCGTAAGTGATGTCACAATTGTTTTCCTCCACTAAGAGATAGCTAAGATCAGCGCCATATAGATAGAATCTATCTATATGGCGCTGGCTAAGATAAGATAACTTTAACAAGATGACTGTGTGCTTAGTACCAGGTTGTTATCATACCAGCAATGGGTCTTGCTCGTTCTTTCGCTTCCCGTCTGATGAAAGTACTAGGAGTGTCTGGATCAAGCTAGCTAGTAGCTAGCACGTTAGTTAGCATTACAGCCTTGTCATTTGTATTAGCCTTAACATGAAGTAACATTAAGTAACCCAAAATGTTAAACAGTAAGAGTAGTAGTCATATTTCGTTAACCCTTTGAAGAGTACTGTCACACCGGTGTGATCATTCTATAATACACAATTTAAGCCCGGGGGAGAAATGCTAACGCTAACGCTAGCGATCTTCTCTACTTCATGCTATCTGCACAAATGGTTGACATTAAACATTACAAAGACCAGGCAGTTCAGAGAGAATCAAAGGAAGGCAGGCAGCTTTGCATGACTTTCTTCAGGACGTGTTTCATTGTGGTGATAGTGAGGGTAGTCAATCGTTTTGTTGACAAGACAGTAGTGACGGCCATCTTGGTGACGTGTGTTGTTCTGTGAGACCAGAGATGTAGTTCATTGAGCGTTTCACACAAACAAATGTGTTACTTCACAGTTTTACGACACATTTTTTTTTTTTGACTTGCAAAATTATCTTTTAAATTGACAAACATCATATGTGGAATTCGTGGCACAATTCAAACGGGATCGAAAGATAATCTTTCTCTCTCCATTGACTTCAATACATAATTTTTCCGAAATAAGGTCCCATGGAGGTCCACCGGAAGGGGAGGGACTTCGCCACTCTACTACTATAACTATACTATACTGTTTCAGAGATAATCCTTGATGTTGTTTGGAACATGATATGGAGTTTCATCACGGCAGCATTTAGCTGAGTTTCTGCTGGTAGAATTCTGAGCAGGCATTAGCTCCACCTCCTTTTTTTTTTTCAAGCTATGGACCCGAACCTGCTCTTCCCTAACAGCTGGAACAGAGGGATATGAGGGATTTCTAAAATGCATGATCTGTTTGGTATTTTGAGCAAAACACATCATAGACATGTTTTTATATATTTGTATATATCTGAGACCCATAATATATGCCTAAAGATAGCCTGATAGGAGACCTTTAAAACCCTGTTTAACTCTGAACAGATTATTAAACCTGGAGTTATTTCAAACAGGAACATTGTTTTCTAAAGTTACATCATGTTTTCTTTATTCAGACTGAGGAGCTGCAGTTTGTCAGAGATCAGCTGTTCTGCTCTGATCTCAGCTCTGAAGTCCAACCCCTCTCATCTGAGATATCTGAACCTGAGTTACAACGTTCTGAAGGATTCAGGAGTGGAGCTGCTGAGAGATCTTCTGGAGAGTCCAGACTGCAGACTGGAGACTCTCAGGTCAGTTCACTGACTCTCTGTTACTGCTGGAGATCTCATGTTTCATTAGTTATTCAACCTGATTCTTCACATAATTAACTTACATCTATAAAGTTGTAAATGTTCTTTTATTCATACTTTCATTTGTAGGTACTAAAGTAAGAACTGCAGAGATAAATGTTGACTGATTCTTAAAGGAACTGTAATAGATGTTAGTTGTAAAAAGTAAATCTATGTTTTTAATATTTAGTAAACGATAACGTCTGAATAAAGTTCATCTGAAGTAATATTAGTTTTACAGGATAAAGTTAACTTTCTGAAGAAGACATATGTTTTTGTTCCCATTCATTTCAATGTTGAGTAACACATCTGATTATAAACTGATTTGTATCCTCATCATGTTTTCTTTATTCAGACTGATGGACTGCAGTTTGTCAGAGATCAGCTGTTCTGCTCTGGCCTCAGCTCTGAAGTCCAACCCCTCTCATCTGAGAGATCTGGACCTGAGTCTCAACTATCTGAAGGATTCAGGAGTGGAGCTGCTGAGAGATCTTCTGGAGTATCCAGACTGCAGACTGGAGACTCTCAGGTCAGTTCACTGACTCTCTGTTACTGCTGGAGATCTCATGTTTCATTAGTTATTCAACCTGATTCTTCTACATAATTAACTTACATCTATAAAGTTGTAAATGTTCTTTTATTCATACTTTCATTTGTAGGTACTAAAGTAAGAACTGCAGAGATAAATGTTGACTGATTCTTAAAGGAACTGTAATAGATGTTAGTTGTTAAAAGCAAATCTATGTTTTTAATATTTAGTAAACGATAACGTCTGAATAAAGTTCATCTGAAGTAATATTAGTTTTACAGGATAAAGTTGACTTTCTGAAGAAGACATGTTTTTGTTCCCGTTCATTTCAATGTTGAGTGACACATCTGATTATAAACTGATTTGTATCCTCATCATGTTTTCTTTATTCAGACTGAGGAGCTGCAGTTTGTCAGAGATCAGCTGTTCTGCTCTGGCCTCAGCTCTGAAGTCCAACATCCATCTGAGAGAGCTAGACCTGAGAGGCAACAAGCTGAAGGGTTCAGAGAAGCTGCTGAGAGATCTTCTGAAGAGTCCAGACTGCAGTCTGGAGACCCTCAGGTCAGTAAGGGGTCTCTGCTGGTTCAGCAGTATTGTATGAACCACAGGGAGGTGTTTCTCTCACTGGGGAAACAGATCAGTGATGTTACCCACTGACTGCAGGCTCTTTCATTCTTCCATCAACTATAGAAGGCCAGCTGAACATGCAAAGCCACACTTTAGTAATCAACTCTCTAACAGACATATGGGGTTTTACAGAAGAGTGGGAAAGGTAGTCTGTTCTTATGGGATGTTTTTAGTTTCTAGACCAGGGGTGTCCAAACTGCGGCCCGGGGGCCAAATGAGGCTCTCGGAATCGGCCCTCAGCAAATTCTGAAAGTATAATGAAATATGGCCCACAAATGAAACTTGTGCTTGTCTTGTCTTGTATTGTACTGCTTAAATATATATGTACACGTATATTACACAGTAGTATTCATGTGTTAATAAGAGCCCACCTTTAAAATAAATGCAGTCAATTAAAGCTGAAAACATGTTCTAACAAATCTAACTTGATAAGAAAAAAGCCCAATAACTTATTGTTATAACAAGCGTGAAATAAACCCTTCATATTTCCTGTAATTATAATCAATCTGAAGCTCCTGTTTAAAGGAATGAGCTGCTGACAGAATAAAGTAAACCCTCTGGAGAGCTGGGAGCTGTTTTGTTTCTTAAAGCATCTTCAAGTAACAAGCATCCTTTACCTTCATTTGATTGAGTTTCCTGACTTATAACTGAACTTATGAGGCAGTAAACCTCTAGAGAGCGGCCCAGACCTTTATATATTTTTCTGTATGTGGCCCTCGGTGAAAAAGGTTTGGACCCCCCTGTTCTAGAACAATGACTGGTTACTTCCTGTAATGCAGCTGAGAGCTGTGGCAGGCAGTCGTAGTGTTTGCAGAGAAGATATGATGGGATGTAAAGCATGAGATCAGGACTCTGAAGCTGACTCAAAGAACAAACACTTATTTTAAACTGGATCTTAAACTGTTGGATTGTGTTCATCTCTACAGGATCGGAAGATGGGTTGATGAGACGATCAGAGCCAAGATCCAGAAGACCTGTGAGTACTGAAACCATATCCTCCATTCATCAAGATATGAAACTCTTTAATGGAGCATGACCTCAGAGGAAAACAACACTCTTCTTTCTCTCTTCATCATTTTAGCTGTTTCTCTTAGTTTTATCATCATCATTATTTTCTCTCTCTCTCCTTCTCCTCTCAGGTGACAGGAAGTGAAGACACACAGAAAGGTGAGAGGTCGTACCGTGTGAAGTTTATTTATTGAGGTTTCAACACGTTTTTCTGGTGTTCCAGACAAATCTGCAAGCTCAGGTTTTATGTGTTCTCAGTTTATTCATCACGGGGCGAGTTTGAGACGTGAAGAGGAGCGTGGAGGCATTTTGGAAAATAAAGAAGAAGGCTGCAGCTGATGAGAGACTTCCTGTTAGCTCTCCTCAATATCAAATGAACAAAAACAATCAATTGTACTTAAAGCTTTTCTTCAGAAGAAAGATGTGTTGCACATACACCTGCTGCTGCCTACCACCACCTCCCACCCATCCCGGCACCAAAGAGGAGACTCCATCGACCCCAGATACCCCAACTCACTCTTCTTCAGGTTAGCTTGGAGCCCCGCCTTTACCTGCCCCAACATCTCACTTTGAACGATGTAGTCATCCGGATATCTGCATACTGAGAGTGGGACGCAGGACCCGGTCAATGAGCTGCTGGAAGGGGGTCCACTGGACTGGAGGGGCGCTTGGATCTGGTGATGCCTTGCTCTTCCTGAAAGGGGAGGACACCTATCTGCCATAGTTTCTCCACCTGACGACTGAGTTCGGCATCGGGGGTTCCAGTTGGGATGAAGAGACTCTGGGGGGCATCCGATGGCCCTTGGAGTGTCCAACCTAATGATAATAATAAGAATAATAATAATGCATTTGATTTGTAAAGCACCTTTCATTGCTAAAAGTAATCTCAAAGTGCTACAAGGGGCATAATATACTTTTTTTTTTTTAAAGAAACACAAGTTTAATAAAAGGCTTTAAAAAAAGAAAGGTTTTTAGGCTCTTCTTAAAGGAGTCAGTGGTCTGTGGAGTCCTCAGTTTGTCTGGGAGGGAATTCCACAGGTGAACAGAAAGCCCCCCCATGGTGCGGAGTTTGGTCCTGGGGGGGGAAGCAGATGGTTGGTTGTAGAATGGAGGTTGCGTGTGGAGGTTTGTGAGGAGAGTAGTTCCTTGAGGTATGAAGCAGCGTTCCCGTGGATGCTCTGATGGGTGAGGAGTGAGATCTTGTATTTGAACCTAGCTGGAGGGCTATTGGTGCCCCCTGTGGACCCAAAGAGACTCTTTTGGTTGGGGTAATGAGGTGAACGTTATCTGCACCTATTAGTAGGAGAGGCTGCACTTTGGAAAAGAGGGAAGGGGAAGGCCTTGTAGGCGGAGATAGTGTTTCTTGAGTTCATCCACAGGATAACTCTAGTCCACAAGTGAAAGTCTGTCAGAGGTGAATGTGTCTTTGAGGAGGAATGTTTTCTTGGGATTGAAAGAGGGTGATATCTCAAAGGTCACTGAGGCTCCATTTCAGAATAATATATATGATATGTTTTATAATGATTGATCATTAAAGTGTTCTCAAAGCTGGTAAAGGTGCAGCTAGTTTGAATGACTTTGTATAGTGCAGGGTAGTGTTGAGATCTCCATATTAGGTTGAATAATTAAAACGAAAGTTAATTATAATCAAATATAATCAATTATATTCTTGTATAACCCACAATGAAAATGCTTCATATTTTATGATTTTCTATGTTTACAGTTTAAACAAAACACAAGTGGTTTGTTAAATTGAGTGTGTAAGGCCTATTATGGTTTATGGGTGTCACTGATAAGAGAGGAGAGACAGTTTCTTCCCTCTTCCCTCACAGCAGTACACAGGGAGGGGGCCTCCTGACTTAAGGAGAAATACACTTTTAAATGTCACAACCTAATTGGGCAGTTGAAGTTACAATTTAGTGTAATAAATGTTTAAACTATGAATTAAGGTTTCAGATTAGAAAATGACCCCAGCATGATATGTTTAGTATGATTGTAATGTTGTAACGAGAGAAGGTAAAAACCCTGTATACGTGTGGACCAATTTTTCTTCAAATAAACTGATCCCACCTTTTGAATTGGGACAACTTAAAAGACATCTGCGCTCTCCTCTCCTGCTTGAAAGGTAAGATTGCACACTGCCACACTCACACTTAGGTAGGGCCACACCTCACTACTGATACCAAAATCCTTCGGGATCGCTTAAACAGATTTAGCGGGTCGTCTGAATTGAAACAGCAGTTAATTGAACCTGGTTCTTCAGGAGTTAATAGAGGTGAGATCTTGCTGACGTTGGTGGATCTGAGCCAAGCAGTAAACGTACATAGACTCAATAACTTCTGTTAGGTCAATTAGTAGGTCTGAGTAATTTGCCGGAATAAATTATCAGCTCTCCCGACTCCCAACAAAGGGGAGGACACCTATCTGCCATAGTTTCTCCACCTGACGACTGAGTTCGGCATCGGGGGTTCAAGTTGGGGTGAAGAGAATCTGGGGGGCATCCGATGGCTCCTGAATAGGGGGGGTCCTTGGAGTGTCCAACCTAATGATAATAATAATAATAATAATAATAATAATAATAATGCATTTTATTTGTAAAGCACCTTTCATTGCTAAAAGTAATCTCAAAGTGCTACAAGGGGCATAATATACTTTTTTCTTTTTTTTTAAAGAAACACAAGTTTAATAAAAGGCTTTAAAAAAAAAGAAATGTTTTTAGGCCCTTCTTAAAGGAGTCAGAGTCCTCAGTTTGTCTGGGAGGGAATTCCACAGGTGAACAGAAAGCCCCCCCATGGTGCGGAGTTTGGTCCTGGGGGGGGAAGCAGATGGTTGGTTGTAGAATGGAGGCTGCGTGTGGAGGTTTGTGAGGAGAGTAGTTCCTTGAGGTATGAAGGAGCATTCCCGTGGATGCACTGATGGGTGAGGAGTGAGATCTTGTATTTGAACCTAGCTGGAGGGCTATTGGTGCCCCCTGTGGACCCAAAGAGACTCTTTTGGTTGGGGTAATGAGGTGAACGTTATCTGCACCTATTAGTAGGAGAGGCTGCACTTTGGAAAAGAGGGAAGGGGAAGGCCTTGTAGGCGGAGATAGTGTTTCTTGAGTTCATCCACAGGATCACTCTAGTCCACAAGTGAAAGTCTGTCGGAGGTGAATGTGTCTTTGAGGAGGAATGTTTTCTTGGGATTGAAAGAGGGTGATATCTCAAAGGTCACTGAGGCTCCATTTCAGAATAATATATATGATATGTTTTATAATGATTGATCATGAAAGTGTTCTCAAAGCTGGTAAAGGTGCAGCTAGTTTGAATGACTTTGTATACTGCAGGGTAGCTTGTGAATTTACTCCAGGTGGAACTAAAGCCTGATTTATCACTTGATTATATTTCACATCATTCTTCCACATCTGCCTTATATTGGCTACCTAGCTTACTTCGTGTTCTTCATCAGCCAGCATCCTTGGTATCTGTTGTTCACTGAGTTGATTCTCGCTAAGTAGCCAATATAAGGCTTAGCCATCTTGCCAAATAATATTATTATTATTATTATTAAATAGTGAGCCTGTGTTGATGTATGAAAACTATGTTAGAACTGGTTTATAAATGTCCCTTAATGATTAATAAAGTGTTTACAACCTAATTATAATTTAGCACTTTGAGTTTTGCTTACGCAAATGAAAAGTGCGCTTATAAATAAAATATATTATTATTATTATAAACCCTTTGTGAATCCTTTATAAGGGTAGTCTTATTGTAAAGTGGTACCGAAAGCTTAGAACGGTTGAACCTGTGAAACTCAACAGGATTAATAAGGACAGGAACGAGTCATAATGAACACTACGATGCTGTTAATGACACGACTCTCAAACCATGGGAAATAAATGTTTAATACAATAAAAAGAGGGAGCAAAATGTACAAATCTGCAAAACAAAATTAGATGAAAGGCTGGAATTTTAAAACTGAAATTTAGTAAATACTGACACAGAATTTGAGAGTTTAATACATTTAAAACATGTATAAATGAGTGGTGTGTACATCACTGATATACCTGAACTAGTTGCATTTCATCTCTTTTCCCCGAAAAAGCAAAATAACATGCATCACATTTATCTGAAACCCAAATCTGCACAATGGATACTAACATCTAAATATATACACAACAGCATTGTGTCCTCTTAAAAAAATCCCTTTCGTTGCTCTTATAGGACTCCACTTAACATATTCCCTCCTATAACACTGTTCACATACCGTTTTATAAAAAAAAGTATAAAATTCATGATTGTGTTCCTATTCTAAACCTGTCGCCTACATTACCCACAATGCAACGGAACAACTTGTAGTCCTTAGAACAAACTGATGCTTTATACAACTACTTTACAGAGACATGTAGTCACACTTACATGTCTATAGGCGGAGTTACCCTTTAAGGAATTACATATGTTATTGTATTAATATAAGAAAAGTCGCAGGTGTATTTCCAGTACCATACAAGCTGCAAAACAGCACTTTGCACTAAAGGAAAACAATGCATATCATGGCTGATGAGATATGAAATAATACTTTAAAATGTATGCATGATGAGACACAACCATTTCGAGAATGATTATGAAATGGCACGAATTAGGAGGGAGGTTAAAAACACTGATATGAATCCTCATAGCAGCAGAACTCGAAAATACTTCAGACTTTCCTCAGAGAAATACTGTTATGTGTACAAATGTACTACTGTCAGTACCAAAGTACACGGGAATAAAGTGACCTGAATAACCTTCCTTTCATAGGAGAGGAGCTTTTATTTAGAAATACAAGGAGCGCATGTGAAGGTGTGGAAGAACATGTACACACATATATAATAATGGGAAAATAAAATGTGTTTAACTGTGAAGGAATTCAACTTTTAAGATGATGTGAGCTGGCGCCATTTTACCACATTTCACCACCAGTGTTTCCAAAAATGTGCAGAAATCTGTGCTTTAATGTGACAATTTCCCATGTGCACTTGAAGAACATAAAGTGTGTATGTGTTTCTTCCCTTAACATATCTTAAAGTCTGGACATAGATCTAAAAGTATACCTCATCCTCATTATGGCTTCATGAAAAACATTTTTTTTTATAAAAGTGCCGAGTTCTTCTACGTTAAAGTCTCTGTTAAATTAAAAAATGTCCGTGGATTTTCCTTCAGTAATCCTCCGTCTCACATGCAGGTGACCTCAGCTTTCCCCTCCTCCTGCTCGAAGCCCCCCTCCTCCAGGTGGGACAGGGCGCTGGGATACCCCCCACCCCCGAACACTGGGAAGCCCCCGATGCCCCCCGCGGTGGGAGAGGGATCCTCGGGGGGGGGAGAGGGGGCTGCTGACCGACCGACTCACGGAGCGATTGGAAACCTCGCTGTGCACCGAGAGGGTCTGCAGGGGGAACAGGAGTTAGATATACGAGGGCAAAGTTATTCATATTTAACTGATTTTAGATTTTAGTAACAAAAACTGCCTGTCTTAGAGTCCTAGCTTCAAAGGAACTGACAGAACAAGTAGATATTTTACTAAATTAAAGCACTAATACACACAGTGCAACAAGTAAAAGTCCTGCTTTCAAAATCTGCAGTGGGGAGAATGAACGCCGGAAGTGCAGTTTCAAGTTTGCTCAGCAGGGGGCAGTGTAGCCACATAGAAAGCTCCTCCCTGCAGCTCCACACTGACAGATGTTAAGTTGGATTTATTTCGTTATACTATATACATAAATATTGAGATATTGATGCATACAAACGCCTCTATACTTTTTTGTATTTGGTTGTTTAATATCATGTAATTTTTGTGTGTTCTCTCTTAATGTTGTTTCAAATAAAGAGTAAATAAATACTATTACCGGGATCCTCTGTTGCCCCGCTGCCTGACCTCTGACCGGACGCTGCAGAAACACAACCTGCTTCGTGGCCAGATTCCCATCACTACACACACACACACACACACACACACACACACACACACACACACACACACACACACACACACACACACACACACACACACACACACACACACACACACTAGCTTGTTGTAATCTTATAGCAGCTTTAAAAAGGTGCAGATTAGACTGAGTTGGTGTTAGATCTACCTGTCGTGGCGGATGATGGGAGTGGGCAGCACGCAGGTGAGCAGCCAACCAAACTCAGCCAGCGTGTGAAGCAGGGGTCCGTAGTCCGTCTTCACATTAGAGCCCTGAGAGAAAACACAATATATACATTTATATAAGAGCATCTTACAACAGTCGGGTGTTGAGGAAGGAGAATATATTGTATGTCCGTGGTTATAATTTGTATTCAGGATTGTGGGAAACGGTAATTCGATCTCTCTGTACACACAAACTGAAAGATTGACAATAAAGTTGACTTTGATAACATGTCTGCATTATAACATGTCATAAAGCTAGATGAACCTAATTACAGTTATTAAAGTAAACAGATATGGTTCTAAACTGTATTGAAGTAAACATGTATTGTTTGAACTGTTTTAAGTAATCCCATAGATATTGTATTCTCACTTACAACTCACTGACCCAGAGATCCTGTTACACACACATACACCTCCTCCCACCAGCACACACACATATTCTTTCCAAGGTCCTTTCTGGGCATCAATATATCTGTGTACAATGTTTGGTTGTCTGGGAAAGACAGATAGTTTGTGTGAAATATTCCTTGGGAAAGTAAAGGAGTGAATATAGGTGCAGAGATAAAGATTGACTCTGTCCTTGTGTCTCACGCTCTGCTCAGAAGAAAACATACTTTTTCCCAGAACTCTAATTCGCTGTATTGGACCCGACCAGAAGTGAATCCAACCAGTAAAAACACCTGGGGGAGTGAGCAGCTCACACAGCTCCTCCCCACGGACTCTCTGATTCGCTTCGGAGTAAAATGGGAAGGAAGAGTCAACACATCTCCGCCCCAAAAATGTCTATGAATACTGTTGTTTATTCATGTAAAATGCTTCCTGTTTGCTGACTGGCCGGTCCTGATGCCTGTGTCGCACGGCAGTAGAACTCGAAGTCCAGAGTACTCTGTAAACTTGTATAAGTGTTTTGTTTTTTACCAGTAAAATCAGATTATTGTTATAACCTTTATTCCGGTGTTTGAACTCCTTCTTTTATTAAATATAACCTCATCTAAAGGACGGCGCATAGCGGAGGTGGGCTTTAAGCCACCACCACAGTGTTTGCTACAACATTATTTAACTCGCCTAGCCTTGTCTCGTTTTTTGGGGGAACTAGTTTAAAAAGAACGGTTTTCCCAGGGTAGCCCGGGGTGTAAATAGGCAGCCCTCTCATTGATTGGAGCATGAAAAGGAGCATGCTCAGTGATACAGCTAGCTAATAGTCTGGATTTACTGTGACGTCACCTGTTGGTTATAGTCAAGGATTTTGAGATTTGATTTTGGCATTTTGATCGTAGCCATCTTGTTTTTTTGGGACCAGAAATGACACAAGGAAGTGAGGAAAAGCAAAACCGAAGGCTCAAAAAGACAACTCCATTTGGAAAGAAATCAGTATCAGTCGAACAAGAAAAGACAAACCCAATGTAAGGATCAGGAAAAGTGAAATGGCTCTACATATAAAACAAATAACAACAGCTTACATAATAACAATCAACAAGACAATAAGATGTACTGCCCTCTCACCCTTAAACAAATCCTGTTTCCTGACTGATACTGCACTTTCATTTTGACATCAAGTAACTTCTGTCAGATTGAGGTCATGCACAATCATTATGATGCACACACACACACACACACACACACACACACACACACACACACACACACACACACACACACACACACACACACACACACACACACACACACACACACACACACACACACACACACACACCTCGATGACGGTCCACTGCTCCACCACGATGGTGTCGTTGGCGGGAGGAGAGGTGCTCCTCTCTTCGTACACAAACAGTCCCTCCAGAGATCTGGGCACCGGCTCGCCTGGAATAAAACACACAAGAAGTCACTTTAAAAAGTGTGCAAGTGGTTATATTGTCACGTTGTGTCATTGCATATAGTAACACACATTTATTACAGGTGGCAGATGATTAACAGCAAGTAGTGGAAACAGAAAGAGGATGTCATTGGCTTGATATTGACCCAGTTTTTAGAAATAGGTTAAACTCTTGCTATGGAGGGATCTTGTTGTGTGTGTGTGTGTGTGTGTGTGTGTGTGTGTGTGTGTGTGTGTGTGTGTGTGTGTGTGTGTGTGCGTGTGTGTGCGTGTGTGTGTGTGTGTGTGTGTGTGTGTGTGTGTGTGTGTGTGTGTGTGTGACTGTGTGGTGTGTGTGTGTGTGTGTGTGTGTGTGTGTGTGTGTGTGTGTGTGTGTGTGTGTGTGTGTGTGTGTGTGTGTGTGTGGTGTGTGTGTGTGTGTGTGTGTGTGTGTGTGTGTGTGTGTGTGTGTGACCCCCCCATATGTAGAATGGAAGAAGTACCAAATTGTAGAAATAAAACCTTTTGTTAAAAGTTAAAATCCTTTTATTGAATTAAAAGTACAACAATTTTGCATCGAAATCCAATTAGAAAAATCTAAGTACTTCTTACATTTAGATTTATTGTCCTAGAGGGATATTTGCTTCACAGCTGGTGTCCAACATATTTATACACAGCAACACATGTAACACACACAGCAACTGAACATACTAATAGCAACACATATAGCAACGTATAGCTATAGACGATACACAAAATCTTCGCATTCGCATCAATATTACTAAACATTTTACCACATTTAGTCTAATCAAGATGTCAGTGATGTAATGGCCACGTTTGTAGACACAGTTAATGTTCATTTCAGTCAGCAACAGCCGAACACATTCAGACATTGAACTTCTCAAAGGCCTTTATTTAAGGTATGGCCTAACACAATATTCACATGCCTAACATGGAGGAATGTTTGCTGTAATTATTTCTCCTGTCCATACTTGTCATTAGGAGTCTGTTCTCTGGGTACACTCTCTCCCTATTTCCAACACTTTCCCTGACATTTGGAACACTTTTCCCCGCATTTTAAACACTGTTCCTGGCTTCTAAAGTGAGGTGCTGGAGCCTGTTCTCTGGGTACACTCTGTGCCTATTTAAGACACTTTCCCCGACATTTAAAACACTTTAACCCACATTGAAAACACATTGACTCCCTTAGAAAGTGAGGTGCTGCAGCCTGGTTCTCTCCCAGTACTGGGTACTAGTTAATGCCACTATCCCCACATTGAAAACACTTTTCCTTTTAAGTGGACATCACATTTCCATTGTGCGGAAGTTTGTCCAATGGCACGAAGCGTCCCACGTTATTTGTGTCCAAAAAGAGGAAGTTTCCCTAACTTATGTTATTCCCATGTAATGAATGACATTTTCTTACTGAACTGTAGCTCAGCAAGGAAAGGAGGGAGAGGGATTTTCACACTGTTATTTTGGAAGACATCCACTGATTTTAAAATGATCAAACTGTAGATCTAATGTCTGTGGACCCTAGGTCTGTAAACTAATGTTGGATTAGAGTTGGATTGAATTTGGCTAACTCAGACTGCTGAAGCCTCACAGTAGGTTTAGCTAAAGTAAAAATATCAATGACCGGATTTTGTCCCTCATCTTTCAGATTAAAGCTGTGTAAGAATGCTCTTTTTATGTACATATGGTTTTGTGATGAATGCATTTAGAAAGAAGGTTCAGCCACTTACACTTAGTCCATGCCACCAAATAGGGTTTTAGTATTGTAGAATAATCAAAGTTGACATATTAGGCATTGAGAATTACCAGTGTATTGTGACCATACAAAATGTGATACTAACATGTGTTGTGTGATTGCTTTTGTTTTTCAGTACATCCAGCAGAACATTAGATCAGACTGCTCTAATATCGACAAAATCCTTGAGCCTCCAGAGGGTCAGGACGAGGGCGTGTGGAAGTATGAACACCTCAGGTATGTTGATAAAGTAATTTAAGCTTGAAAATTAATAAGTTATTGAAGCAGCAGTCCTAGTAGGATCACTCATGCTCATGTGTTTGTCTTTTCTTCTAACTGTGCTCGTGTTTTGTCCTTCATGTAGGCAGTTCTGTCTGGAGCTCAACGGACTAGCTGTAAAACTGCAGGTACGTGATCCAACTCGGAAGATATACAACCTTTTTATTAATTTTTAAACATCTCTGATGGAAGGTTTTTTCCCATTTATGTGTCCATATCAAAGCAAAGATCTTAATCAGGAACTATTTGGTAGAGCTGTATAAAGAACCGGTTAACCTTTGTTTTAAGGAGTGTTTTAAGGAGTGTTTTAAGGAGTGTTTTAAGGAGTGTTTTTAAGGTGTGTTCATTTAATCTTTATTTTGCTTTTCAGATCGAGTGCCATCCAGACACCTGCACCCAGATGACAGCCACAGAGCAGTGGATCTTTTTATGTGCTGCCCACAAGACACCCAAAGAGGTCAGTCAAGACCGCGGGTTACTCAATGTTCACTTGGGTGTCTTTTATTACAATTCTTTATTTAGTTTTATGTGCATCTTATACAATGTTCATGAACTTTATACAATAACAGAAGGGATGTTTCCATTGACATGGTGAGGGACATTCCTGCAGGTGTAATAACAGTCAAACAAACAATACATTATAATATTTTGGTAATTAGACCAAGCAACCTGTTTCTTTTGGTGATAGAACAGGTGATCAGCTCATCAGTAGTTTGTTAATTCTATGAAATGTGGACTGGTGAATAAAGGAAACTCAATCCGACCATAGCTCAGTAAATCTATTCATCTGTAGGCGAAGAGAAAAAGTAATTATTCCCATTAGGTATATGTTATTAACTATATCTATCCATTCTTCAATTGTGGGGGAATCAGGAAGCAGCCAGTGGCCTTGTGATGGTTTTCTTACAAGCAGTTATCAGAACTCCGAATAAATATGTGTTAAAGCGCCCTAAATGAAAGTCACCCTTACCCAAGATAAAAGTGCAGAATTGGAATGGTATTTTCATATTGAGTATTGCACTTAGATGTCTGTTTAATGGTTGTCCTTACGAATGATTCATTTGTCTCTGCCTTTGTCTGAGGCTCTTAATAGCCGCTTTCACACCAAGTACTTTGCCGCACTTAGTACCCAGCACTTAGTTCCCAGCACTTAGTTCCCAGCACTTAGTACCCCCATGGAACTAAGAGCCGATCGCGTTCACACCGGAATAAGTCCCTGAGGGAGGATTACGCAAAGGAAGCCGCTGACGTCACTTCTTCTTCTGCTTTGGGTTTACTGGCAGGCCGCAAACAACTTCACGGCGTGAAAGCGCCTAATGAAGTTTCTAAGTGTGTTTTGTGCTTTCTCCACAGTGCCCTGCCATTGATTACACCAGGCACACGCTGGACGGAGCTGCCTGTCTTCTCAATAGCAACAAATACTTCCCCAGCAGGTCAGTCATCATCATTTACAACCTGTAAATACAGCTTTTTATTTTGGTCACTTAGGGGCAGTGAAAACAAAGTGTGAACACAACATAAGCAACACAAATACAGAGCTGAAAATCACTTTAAATATCCATTCATTCTCTGTAGGTTTATTACTAAATGTGACAACTTTGAAAAAGGACATGCACCGGAAATGGCTGTCATATTGAGGGTTGATTGACGGCATTCTTTTGGACGTGTTTATTGCAGTTTCACAGTTTTTTTCGCTTTCAAACTTTTGGCCCTGATGTTGCTTGGGGGGGCGGGGCTTACCAAAGAGTAGTTTTGCATCCTGAGTGACAGCCCTCCCTCTGTCATGTTGCCTTCATGGATGTAAGGTAGCGCGAGAAATATAACTCAACACTTTCTATACACAATACTCCCGTGATTGGTGGGAAACCAAACTGATACCAGCATCAAAGTTCCGTTAAGCGAGCTGTTGAGCATCCTAGTTCAGAATCAGATCAGAATCAGAAAACCTTTATTACAGTGTAGTCCCACAGAGGGGACATGTACGTTGTTACAGCAGAAAAGAGCCACTGACAGCTTAATGTTACATATGTTACATGCAAAAAAAAGTATTTAAAGTAAAAAAAAAGTTATATGATAACAAAATATAATAAAATAAAAAGTTATACAATTTACAAAATATACATCCTGTAACAGTTCTGAGGATTTAGCAGCCAGGTATATATTGCAGTTTTTAACGGCATATATATATATATATATATATATATATATGCAGGGTTGGGTGAAGTGTTTTGCCCAAAATACCAAAAATACCTCATCTGCACTTTTCCCCATTAAAATGAATTGTAATCAATACTTTTAGATGTAAATGGTTTATTGCAGGGGTACTCAAACTTTTTTATTAAAGGTCCACTTGTGAACTTTATACAAGGTCACTGGTCCGGATCAATGCCAGTAAAGTCACCCCCCCCCCCGGAGCGGAGCAACGAAACTGAAATTAAGAAAATGTTTCTTATGGCGCTCTATGCATGGTTCAAGGTTCAAGGTTCAAGGTTCTTTATTGTCAATCTGACATAGTTACAGAGTAATTATGTAGTTGAAAATCTTATGTCACAGGCTTCTCCAACAATGCAACATAATAACATAATAACAATAAGAGCATGAGCAATACAAAAATAATAATAGTTATAAAATGAAATAAAGTTATGATGTGGAATAGTGCAATAGAGTCTATATACAAGTTATTGGAATGATATATATATATATTAGGTATTAGATACATACTACTGAGTAGCAGATGAATGTTTGATGTTGTTTCAACAGTTCAATTTTTTAACAGTCTCACTGCCCGCGGGAAGAAACTGTCTCCGAATCTTCTTGTCCTTGCCAGGATGCTGCGGTAACGTCTGCCAGACGGCAACAGAAAGAACAGTTTGTGGCTGGGGTGATGGGGGTCTTTGATAATCCGTAGTGATTTCTTCCTGAGCCGCTGGGAGTAAAGGTCCTCCATGGATGGCAGCTCCGTCCTGGTGATGTGCTGTGCAGTTTTCACCACCCTCTGTAAAGCCTTACGATCGAGGTCGGTGCAGCTGCCGTACCAGGCCGTCATGCTGCCAGTGAGGATACTCTCTATCGTGCACCTGTAGAAGTTGCAGAGTATCCTGGGATCCATTTTGAACCTCCTCAACCTGCGGAGGAAGAAGAGCCGCTGTCGAGCTTTCTTGGTGATGGTGGTGGTGTGAAGAGACCATGTCAGGTCCTCAGTGATGTGGACCCCAAGGAACCTGAAGCTTTTGACTCTCTCCACCGTAGTCCCATTGATGGCGATGGGGGCGTGTCCCTCTCCCTGCTGCTTCCTGTAATCCACAATCAGCTCCTTTGTTTTGCTGATGTTGAGATGGAGGTTGTTATCCTGGCACCAAGATGTCAGGTTTTCGACCTCCTCTCTGTACGCCGTCTCGTCATCGTCTGTGATCTGGCCGATGACGGTCGTGTCATCAGCAAACTTCACGATGGTGTTGGAGCTGTGTGTGGCCACGCAGTCGTGGGTGAACAGGGAGTAGAGGAGAGGGCTGAGCACGCAGCCTTGAGGGGCACCGGTGTTTAGAATCAGGGTGGAGGATGTGATGTTTCCCACCCGCACTGCCTGGGGTCTGCCCGTCAGGAAGTTCAAGATCCAGTCACAGAGGGCGCTGTTGAGCCCGAGGTCTCTGAGCTTGATGGCCAGCTTGGAGGGCACAATGGTATTGAATGCTGAACTGTAGTCAATGAACAGCATTCTCACATATGTGTTCCTGTTCTTCGGGTCCAGGTGTGAGAGGGCAGTGTGGAGGGTGAGGGCTATGGCGTCGTCAGTGGACCTGTTTGCTCTGTAGGCAAACTGCAGGGGGTCCAGAGAGTCAGGGAGGGAGGAGGTGATGAATGATTTGACTAACCGCTCAAAGCACTTCATTATGGTGGAGGTGAGTGCTACTGGGCGGTAGTCGTTGGGGCAGGTGATGATTGTCTTTTTGGGGACAGGAACGATGGTGGAGTGTTTAAGACATGTGGGGACTACAGACTGCAGCAGGGACCTGTTGAAGATGTCTGTGAACACCTCTGCCAGCTGAACTGCACACACCCTGAGAACACGGCCAGGGATGCCATCAGGTCCAGGAGCCTTGTGTGGGTTAACCCTTTTAAAGGATTTACACACATCTGCCCTGTTTAAAACAAAAGGGCAGTGTAGCTCCTGGTCCCTCTGTACCTCCACAGCCCGGCTGCTCTCAAAGCGTGCAAAAAAACTGTTCAGCTCATCTGGGAAAGATGCGCACGCAGACACTCCCGCAGCACCCCCCGCTGCTCCTTTGTAGTCAGTCATTGTCCTTAGTCCCGCCCACATATTCCTAGTGTTACAGCCTTTGAAGTCAGATTCCACCTTTTCTTTGTACTGTCTCTTTGCATTTTTAATTGCTCTCCGGAGATCATACCTAGACTTCCTGTACTCCTCCAAATCTCCCGCTGTGTGCGCGATAGTGCGCGCTCTCAGCTTGCAGCGCACATCGGAGTTTATCCATGGCTTTTGATTTGGGAATGTCCGTACAGAAACCTTCGGTACCACGTCATCGATGCATTTCCCAATGTAGCAGATGACAGTGTCCGTGTGTGTGTTGATGTTATTGTCCTCAAACACACTCCAATCCGTAGATGCAAAGCAATCCTGCAGTGCCTCATCTGACTCCTCGCTCCATCGTTGTACTGTTCTTGTAATCGGTCTGTCCCTTTTAAGTTTCTGCTTGTAAGCAGGCAACAACAGCAGTGAGATATGGTCTGATTTGCCGAAGGGAGGGCGAGGGAGAGCCTTATATCCATTCCGGAAAGGGGAATAAACATGGTCCAGTATGTTATCCCCGCGCGTCGGGAAGCTGATGTGTTGGTAATATTTTGGCAAAACCTTCTTCATGTTGGCGGTGTTGAAATCTCCGGCCACAACGAACGCCGCATCTGGCCGTGAAGTCTCGGTTTTATCAATAATCCCAAACAGCTGATCGAGTGCCGTGTTGTTGTCGGCGAGTGGCTGCGGCGGGATATACACTGCTGTTATCACAACAGATGTGAATTCCCTCGGCAGATGGAAGGCCCGACATGAGATCATGAGGTGCTCGAGATGTGCGGGGAACAGTCCGATGAAATAATCTTCACATCTGAGCACCAGTTGTTGTTAGTCATTACCAGTGGCGTTTCTATGTGTACAAAACTGGGGGGGCAGAGAGAGGTGGGGGGAGAGAGAGAGAGGTGGGGGGAGAGAGAGAGAGGGGGGGGGACAGAGAGAGGGGGGAGGAGAGAGAGAGAGAGAGAGGGGGGAGAGAAAGAGGGGGGGACAGAGAGAGGTGGGGGGGGAGAGAGAGAGAGAGGGGGGGACAGAGAGAGTTGGGGGGGAGAGAGAGAGAGAGGGGGGGGAGAGAGAGAGAGGGGGAGTGTCAAATTACATACTGAAGACCACACGGAGCAACACTATCAGCGCATACATTTACGTACACTGTGTACGTAAATGTACGGTACACAGCGTGGGGATGTCATATTGTAATGCACCTTAATACATAAGTAAAGGGCACCATCACAAAGCAATTCTTAACAACAACAACAACCACCATAATGCTTTAGCATTAAAACACCATAGACTGTAAATATAAGGAAAACACAGACACTCATCACCGAGGTCACAATATCAATCGATCCAGCAGAGGCAAAACACAGAAGATCAACAAAATATATGACATAAATGAACTTACCAAAGCTGAAGGCTCACTTGAAAAGAAAAGCGGCACGGCGGTCCTTCCTCTGACAGAATGTTTCTATCACTTTGGGGATGAAGTCCTGTAGTTGCTGGATCAACTGGCTTTCAATTGAAAGCATGGCCAATGCGTTAAGTCGCAGCTGTCCCATGGTGTTGCGAGTGAAAGTCTTTATCCTTTTGAGGGTGGAAAAGTTCCTCTCTGACTCGGATGTCATCATCGGAGTTGTTACTATTATTTTGACCAAAATAACAGTCTCAGCAAACGTATCCTCCAAGTTGTTCTCGTGAATGGATTTCAACAGAGACAGGGCAGTGTTTCCAGTGTGAAGTTCACTGTGGTGGTAGAGCGTGGTCAGCTCAGACTTCAACTTCTCCTTGTTTCCCAAAGCAGGCCACAATTTCACTGCGCAGTCAAGCTCAGGTGTAGGAAATGACAGGACATGCTGTGGGAAGAATGAGCTGTCAACGAGCTTTGCAGCGATCAAATGGTCACTCTGTGAGAACCTCTGTTCCACCTGTGAGATGACTGTGTCACATGCCTCCTTCATTACCGGCTCTGTGCTGCTGACTCGTCGGCCTGGCTCGTCTGTTCCATCATGAGTGGTGGCGGCCAATGCATCAGTTTGCTGCCTCATTTTCTGGACATTTTCCTTGAAGCGGCAGAGCGCGCTGTTGATCCCAGGTGCATCGATGGTTCGTTTTTGCAGAGTGTTGTATAAAACATCCACTTCTGGCATAAGCAACGAAAA